AGCCTGTCGATGAAACTACGATAACACACTCTTTTTAACAATACGATTCGATCTACGTTACTATCCTTAACATCTACTACTTCGTAAGTCAACACTCTCGTAATAACATAACGATTACATTTACATGCTACTCCGTTGTCTTTTAAAAAAAATCGGACTAGTCGAGTTTTCCGGAATTCCAGTGATTTCTACCAGGATATGCCCCAGACCACCTCACAACACAGCGTCCCCTTGCACTTGCATCTTCAAGCTCATGGCATTTATACTACTCTCGATCTGGGTGCAGCTTGGAAGCTTCTTCTTCCTGTTGTCCGGATTAATCGGAGATCTTCTTCTGATCCGACTGTTCCTGTACCTCGCATACGTTATGCTGCTCACAAATGCTTTGTTAGGATCTCCTCTTTGGCCCAAGATACTATCTGTTGATCAAATCACTTTCTCCGAGGTTGCGATGGATTCGTTTGTCTGGGCTATTCTGAGCCTTTACGTGCATGGGAGTTCCTTGGTGGCCTTGATATGGGACGAACGTGCCCCCAAATTGACGGACGACGAGGCAGCGTTGTGGAGGATGATGTACAGAACTGGAGGACTGAGTGCTCGTCTATTTCAGGACGTTGTTGCGAGGCATCTCCATGTCGTGGAAGTCGAAGCAGGTGATGTTGTCGACACTGAAAACTTCTTTTTCATAATCTATCGCGGGCGTATTGAGCTTGAGGTACTGGAAGGAAAGAAGTTTTCTCATAGCAGAGTTCTGACTTCTGGGGAAATGTTTGATCTGAAATCTCTTGGCCTTGTCCGTACAGAATCAATTTTTGATAACTCATCGGTCAGGTGCACAGCTCTTTGTCCCTCAAAATTGTTTGAAATCAGAAAAGAAAATCTCGCAAAGATCGCTCAGAATCCATTGTCTAAGAGTCTCTTTCAAGCTCTGCTTATCAACAATTTGATGTATATCGTGGAATCCTACCGAGAAATAAATCACACAAGGAGCGAAGACGACAACTACTGCAGCAAAATATTTGACCCACTGGAGGAATGGGAGCAGCCAGAATCCTACAGATCAGGTTCAGGGAAAGCCTTGCAAAGACCACTGCGGCATATCTGGAAGGGCATACGAGGATCCTTTGGATTGCCATGGCCGTTTTCGCGGCACCCGGTAGGTCTTCGCCAGACACAATTGCCGCCGCCGTTGCGACGGGACGAGTACCAGAAACGTAAGGTAACATGATCAAACAGAAACAAGACTACACACTAACATTCGGTTCTTCTAAAAGCTCTGTGAAAGAACGAATCTGGCTCTGGAATCTTGCTTCTTCATCCAAATTCAGATGACATTTGTAGCGGAAGGAACCAAATAAGTATCACTCGCCAATGTTGGAATTTCAATAACAGGAAATAATATCTACAGGATAGTATGTGTAAATATTTCCGTTAGGCCGAGCTCCTACATGGGTTCCCCATTATTAGACCGCATGCATCGAAACCATACCCGCACAGTTCACATTTTACTTTCCCTTTACATTCCACCCATTGACCGTTACCTGAGACTGAACAATTGAAAACGACATCAATAGATTGCCTACGAGCCGTCTTATTTTCATTTGCCAGTTCACTAGATAGCCTCATCGTCAACAGACGGGCCACGACTGCTTATAGATTACGTTGCTGGTATTCAGAAAAGTCCTTGTGCATTATTCTTCATCGCCTTTCGTTGTTACCGGTACAGTAGAACCTTTTGAAACACACCAGGCGCTTGCATAAATGAAACTGACATCTTCCAGACATCCAATTCAGTACGAATGTGGCAATGGAATTGCCCGTGTGCAGCTTCTAAAGACGGACTATGATTGGTAGGGGCTGGCGTCAATCAGAAACAAATGGGTGTTTTTTAAACAACTACTCTTGTCTCCTCGTCGGATGCCGTCTGTTCAGAACTCTTTTGCTTGCACTTTTCGAGGCACTTGTTGCCAAAGTAAATGACATCTCTGTCTTGTTTGTCGCTGCTACTTCTTTCTTTTTTCATTTGTTGAAGAATTGCATACTTCACGACTCGGCATTCTTCGTCTCCAAATACATGAATTACATGGCAAAGTACCTTACTCACATTCAATCGAACATTTGCGATGCGATCATCGGCAAGAGATAACGTGACTTTCAGAAGCTCGCGCAAAGGAGTATTCTTCCCGTGATCATTTGCATCTTCGTCCCTCCATTTCGTTGGACACACCCCATTTAGCAGTATGACTTCGACCATCTTTAGACCAAGTAGCCGTTGTCGATAATCGGAGTTCTTGACACATGTATGAATCTGTGGGATTACCAGAGCGGTAATCCATTCACCACTGACTTCTTCGCCGTGGCTTCCAAGACTACCACCTCCCAAACAGAGACATTCTGCAGCAGTCCTGCGCACAGCGTCCACCTTATCTGTTGTTAACCGAACACACATTCTCGATATTTCGGCCCGAGTTTCGAATTTTGTTGTGCAACCAAGAAGGGCAGGAACGATTTCTACGGCACTCTGTCGTACTCTCCACTGCTTGCTATTTGCCAACTCGGAAAGGGTGGGCAGAAGCCGCAGAACTTGCTCCTCTGATAGCACAGGAACAAACACTGGATCTTTGCGTTGTATCGATGTTTCCGAAGCCACCGAAACTGAATCATCATCTTTATCTGTATTTCGCCGAGGACGGAGTCCGCTTGCTGGTCCTCGAGATGCATTGGTCACTGCACGCAGCGCTGAACTGGTAACTTCGGGGTCTGAATCGTGCAACAGGGCTTGCACCAAAGGTACGAGTCGCTCATCTATGTGGCGCTTTTGATAGCGAACACTAACGGGATAACCCATCGAAGCTTCCTCCTGCGTGTCATCGATGGGTTTGTTTTGTTGCAGTCCAACGAGAAGGGTCAGCATTTCACCAGCAGCTGTCGCAAGGGCCACTCGAACTGCAGAACTGGCATCCTTCTGAAGCTTTATTGCCGCGGGAAGCAAAGCATCGAGTACACTCGATTCTCCTGCTGGAATGACACCTGGTGGAGATGACATGAGCACGATATCCGCTAGTCGAGGCACACAAAGAACCGCTTCACTTCGAACACGTTCGTCCGAATCAGTCAACAACGCAACAAGAACATCAATTATGACACTTGACCAATGATCACCGAGCGCATCGCAAAGCCTATCACATTGAGCAGCCACTGCAAGTCTCACTTGCGGGGCTCGATCTTCGGCAAGGCGAGTTGCCACTGGAAGGAGTTTGCACTGCAACAGATAGACGTCAGCGAAAATCGGATCGTCACGGCTTGGTAACCGCTGGAGATATCGACTTCCTTTACTCGCGTCACCGAGGAAGGCATTGGGCAAGTGCTCTGCTAAATGCCACGTAAGTGTCATTGCAGCTGAACGTAGGATTGGTTCTGGATCGGTCATCGCCCTTTCGCACATCAACACCAACCACGGGACGCAGCGTGGATCAAACACTAGTTCTGCAATTTCATGCAAGACAGTAGCCGTTGATTTTCTGACAATTACCTCAACATCATGAAGCGCTCGTGTAATCACTCCGCGTAACTGAGACCGAAACTAGGATTAGACGCGAGAACAATACAGGATATCATTCACAACATTGAGCCGCGGCAACTTACTTGCAACTGATGCGGAAAGTCCAAATGACTCCAAAGTACGGGACCAAGCGAACAGGCTGTGATTCGAGCACTTGTACTCCTACTTGCCGCCAATCGATGAACGACTGCAAGAAATCTATTTCCAGCATGGAGTCTGTGATAATCGTCAGCTGTTATATCTTTGACTTCTCCAAACCGCCGCTTCATCTCAATCTCGTCAATCTGCATCAGTTCTGCAGATATTTGTTTGCATCCAGGACTTCTCATGATTGGACAGTTCAAAATGATCAACTTCAGCAAACTTCCAGCTGCGCCAAGGTCTGCGATTGGTCCCGTATTTGCACCTCCTTGCGTTGATGACACACTTTCCTCCTCTGCCAATTTCATCTCGACATCAGCGTCAAGGATATCACACAAAACGGCTATCAATTCTCCACGCAAAAGAGCCGCAGGCGGTGATGTAGGATCGGCCAAGAATGTTCTGGTACGCTGTAACAAATCACCGATCTGAAGTAGCAATTGGTCTCCAACAGTCTCTACCTTTCCAGCATCTCCCCTTCCTCTGCCTCCACGGCCTCCTCGTCCACCACCTCTACCCATGCCTCTTCCACCTTGACGGCCTGGAGCTGGCGATCCTGCACCAGCAGCTTGTCCGCCCGCCTGTTGCTTATTCTTTTGTATAGTGTCCATTCGTTTCTTGGCAAAATCGTATAAAACTCTCGACACACTGTTAGCAGCTTCCGCATAGTCCTTCGATGTGTGATGGTATAATGAATGCGACTTTCCCCGTCTTGGAGAAGTTTCCTCCTTGCCTTTTGCCATTGCCATTAGACGCGACGATTCCCGTTCTAGACCAACCACAAAAAGGGTCAAGGTCCAAATCAGCTTTTCGCCGACTCGTAATATTGGTTCATCCTTTCTACTTCGTGGAGTCATCTGGTTGACGGCTTCAATCCATCTTTTGCGAACCATAGATGTATAAATTGCAATATTCTTGTCTTGCAAGGCGGCTTGAGGTTTTGTACTCATCTGTTCTGTAGCTTGTTGTTGTACAGCAGCATTGTTATTGTGGTCGCCACCGTCAATAATTTTGCCAAACCCAGATCCTCGAATCAGTCGGCCCATTTCTTCACGTGCACTCCGCAACGAGTCGTCTGATATTTGTCGCAACACCAATTGCAGAGGCCGCTGACTTTGCCGCAATTCATCTATCGTTTCAAAGTGCGTTAGATTCTTGGTTTCAATGTTTCCAACCTTGACAATGAGAGAACCAACTTTGGCCCCAGCCTTTTTGGCTGGACCACCCGCCAGAACAGTACGAACCACAGTTCTTTCTAGGACATTTTCTACCGTCAAACCCAGCATCTCTCGTTCAATTTTGACACCGTATTCACCTGGTCCACAAGTTGTGGTAGTCTCATCCTCCACCTCTATTTCATCCTGGCTATTCCCCCTCTTTCTGTTTCGGCCACCAAATACAGAACCTAATTTCGTATGGCGCAAGGAGGACCCCCTTCGAAACATGGAAAAGACGGAGGGAGCATGTTTATTATCGTGCTCATCAAATGGTTCTTGCGAGGTCGAATCCAAATCAGTAGCCTCCGTTGTCAAATCTTCTTCTGGCAAGTCATTTGTTGGAGGCAAAATTTCTCCTCCCTCTCCCATGCAGGCTTTGAAAAACATCAAGGTAGGATCACCGGGGTTTGAGATGCACGGTGGCAATAAACCTGGAACAACAATTGGTGCTTCCGCCTCGGTTTCAAAGCTGTAGTCCAATTCGCCTGGGGTTTCTTCCTCGACAACTTCTGGAACCATTGCCGCCAAGGAATCGTAAGCCAATTCTACTTTGCGGAGAAACGATTTCATTTTTTCGCACCCCGTCGACGGAATATGTGAGACACCTTCTGTATGAATTTGGGTGGCATCTTCTGGCAAGTCTCCAACTGATCGGTAGTATTCAAACAACAAGAGTTGCATCAAAAAGGCATCATTTTTTCCTTCTGCCAATTTGGATAGAATCATGGACGTTGGTTGGTCTTCCTTTCCATAGTCTTCTACTTCCGCAATGGCTTCAGATCTCAATAAACTCTTGACAGATTCCAGACTAACTGTATATATCTTGCGAGGATCCGGTCGTGGAGCGTTTTTTTTATATAGATGCTGCTGTTGTTGCTTGGCAAGATTTTGCGCTTGTTGTTTTGCCAGTTGAGCCACTTCTGCCGGTGATTTGTTGGAAGCATTTGCTGCTTGTGCCAGTGCAGCCATAGCCAGTGCTTCTTTAGCTGGATCGTCAGTGGCTCTATTATTGCCTCGAGCATTCAATCTTGCACCAGGAGTGGAAGGAGCATTTTGCGTGGTTTGCTGTCTTCTGGATGGGGAAGCAGAATGCCGAGCAGATTCACCATATCGACGATTCGCTGATTTGGGAGGAGAATTGCTCAGATTGCTCATTTTGAAATGATTACTAGCCTCGAGAGTGAAATAGAAATTGTCGTGTGTCGTGTGCGAGTTGTGGTTTATGTGGTGTGGTTTGTGCAGATTGCCCAATGTTTTGGCTGAGGTACCGTATAATATTGATATCAAAGGAATGAATCAATGAATCAATGAAGAATCAATGAATCAATGTCGTGTCGATTGCTAGCTTTTTGGTGATTTTGAACTTTATCAAAATACAACTTTTTGATTCTAAGCAGATTGACCCTCTTTTTCGATTCGATCCAACTGGTTCTGTTGAAATAATGTTGCAGTACAACGGCGAGGATGACAACGACTCACTCAGTCGACAACAATGACATACACACAAGTCTCAAGTCACTTTTTGTTGTGCGTTTTGGAGTCTCTTTGCCCAAGGCTGGGTCATGAATATCTTGAGTCGTCCCAACCGTTGAGGTATTCGTTGATTTGCGTAGAAGCAGTACATACTTCCGAGTTCAAACCAGCACGGTCGGCTTGCTCCAACAACAATGCACTGCGCATATTGTGCGCAATCCAGGCAGCCAGTGATAACGAGCTTCGGAATCCCCATCAGCATTGCATCTTTTGGTGTCGGCATTGCATTGCTTTCTTTTACAATCCAATACTGTACACTTCAAAATAAACAATGGTAAGATTATTGACGCAAGACAAATTGGAATAGAGGATGCCATTTTATTACGTAGGCTACAAGATTGAAATCGATATAGCCGCACGTCGCAATTGGTTTGACAGACTGCTTTGGCCAGTTGGTTTTGGATTTCAATCGAATCGTTCGGATTTCGCGAAAGTGTTCGGGAAAGTTCCCACCTGCCCTACAAAGTCTACATTTTTCCTACGTGGTTGATGGAATCTCTTGATCCAAACCAACCGTGTTTGGGAAACCGAGCAAAAAGCACGTTTCTATCCCATTCCAACAACAACAACAAAAACAATATGAACAACGACGACTTACCATCTTGTCCTCCACCTTTTTCTTACACCATCAAAAATAACGACACTAAAAACATCGATGCAGTCTACAGAGAACGCCCCAGAGTTCAAGCTCATTTTGGTGGGAGATGGAGGAGTCGGAAAGACCACATTTGTCAAGAGACACTTGACGGGAGAATTTGAAAAGAAGTACGTTGCCACCTTGGGTGTCGAAGTTCACCCTTTAATGTTTCACACCAACCGTGGACCCATCAAATTCAATGTTTGGGATACTGCTGGACAAGAGGTACGTTTGTAGTTCATGGACTTGAAACTAGAATCTCCTTGGATGTTTTGGCTCGTTCTCTCACTGGACCGACTTGACTTGACTTGATTCACTATGAATACCATACAGAAATTTGGAGGACTCCGTGATGGATACTACATCCAAGGACAATGTGCCATTATCATGTTTGATGTCACATCTCGTATCACATACAAGAATGTCCCCAACTGGCACCGTGATTTGACTCGTGTCTGTGAGAATATCCCAATTGTACTCACTGGAAACAAGGTTGAAATCAAAGACAGAAAGGTCAAGGCCAAGCAAATCACCTTCCACAGAAAGAAGAACCTTCAATACTATGATATCTCCGCTAAATCAAACTACAACTTTGAAAAGCCCTTTCTTTGGTTGGCCAGAAAGCTTTCCGGTGACAATGTCCTTCACTTTGTGGAAGCACCTGCTTTGCAACCACCAGAATTCACAATTGATGAACAAACCAAGTCCCGCTACGAGGCCGAAATCGCCCAAGCTGCGGCCCAACCACTTCCAGAGGACGACGACGACGATCTCTAAACGAACCGACGAAAGACGGCGAGGACCGGAGTGTTAGTGGCGATTGATTCATTCATTCATTCATTCATTCAACTATTCGTGCAATGTATTCGATGTAACAAACACCAATAGACTTGTATGGTTGCGTCCGACTTTTTGCCCATCGATGGGGACAGAGTCGTAAGGCTTGCAACGCATAAAAACAATATAAAGAAAACAATGTATCAAGGGACTACCACGAACGAACAATCTCTCCTCCTTCTAACAGTACTCGCGTACTACTACTATCTGCTGTATGTTAAGATACCGGCGCGGGAGTTGTATTTAATTTAAAAGAAGAGCCTTGATTCAATACATGGAACGAAGATTGTCGCGGACTTTGGAAAAGGTCGATGTTACCATGGCATGATGCTCCATGAGCAGTGGTAGTCGTGGATGTCGGTCTTCATCCCGAAATTGTTCCATCATACAAGTTAGCTGCGATACCTCCTTGAGAATAGTCTCCACATGCTCCAGCAGAACGGTACAAGTTGCTTCTTGGAAGTGGGAGTGAATGGCAAACTTTGTCGCTTCGTCACCGCTCATGTGCGCTTCGTAGAATGCATTCTTGGCTTCGGCCATGCCAGGAGCTCGCTCCAACTTGGAATACAAGATGACATCCCAGATTGGAGAGGAAATGCTTCCATCTTGTGTAGAAAATACCAACTGGGAAGGATCGTATCCAATTTGTTTCAACTTTTCCGACGGATTGGTAAAGAGAAGTTTGCAGTAGGTGGCGGGTGCTTCGTTCAAAAAGCCATAGGTCGCCAACAGATGTGATGGGTTTGTAGGCATGTCATAAGTCAATGTCAGTGCTTCTCCAGGGGCAATGTCTCGTGACGCGTAGACTTCGCAGTTCGCTGTTGTCTGTTCGTTGTTGTTGTTGTTGTTGTAACAAATGACAATATTGGCTTCATTACCATGATTGAAGTAGTCAGCAGCTGGAACAATATTATGGTCTTCTTGTGAAGGCAAGATGCGAGTCATTACAACATTGTAGGCAAACTTCACAAGTTCGTCGTCAGATTTGGTTTCAGGAAGAATGTAGTCAAAATATTTGAGCGACTCTTGAAAGGCAGAGAGTTCGTCACGTTTCTTCTGGCATACTTTTTTGATATAAGGAGGGAGCGTTGACATGCAAAAGTAATCAAAGGATACGGCCGTATTCCATCGGCGGGGCAGTGAATTCAACCAAGGATAATAGGCCGAACTTTCTCCCTTCTCGTATTCCATTAGTATTTTTAGAAACAAGTGAAAGTGTGGTTGCAAATGTAAATAGCCTTTTTGCTCTAGAGTCTGTAGAGCCGATTCCACATATCCTCGAAATTCTTGTGCAATCTGAGAGGCTGATAGTATCATCTCACTGGGAACTGCCAAGACCCTATTTCCCTGGTACTTCGTACCAGGTAGTACCCGCATTGTGTATCCTTTTGAAGGTATTGAAGATACTATTGACGGGCGGCTACGATTGTTTGAACGACCATGCAGGAAACTTGGCTGGGCAAGATCGAAAGAGACAACATGTTAAGGATCAATTTTGGGGTTCAACAACGGACCTCAGGACCCATGATTACAGTTGTGTTTGTATTCCTACCCAAACACTCTCTGCTGTGGCTCACGCGGATCAGAAGTCAGCTGAAAGCGTTTAAGGGGGGCCGATGCTTGGATAAAAGGTAAACACTCTCTCAACTCTGCACTTGTAGAAAAGATGCCAACAAGAAGTTCTGGAACTAATTGAAGTCTACTACCCGTAGTGGCTGCTCTTGAAACCTTTCATCCACCAACTGGCAACTGTTGATGTAGTCAAGCTTGGGCCATTCCTCTCGGACAGCATCTGAAGCTCCTTCTTTCATCAAGCGTCCTTGTGGAGGCCCATTTTCTCCATAGCCCGTGTAAATTTTGCCCAACGTCTGGAACGAGTCTGCGCCAACCAGCTCTCCCCATGGAACCTCCTTCGCAAAACAAACGGCGCGTGAATCAACGGTTAAGTATCCCACCCATAGTATACAAATAATTCACGTACCCATGGTGATCCTCCTGCAAGTGGGCCATTCTCTTTCAACGCTACTATCAACTGCGTCCCTCTAGATTTTTTTCCTCCTCCAGCATATGCCAAATATCCACGAGCGAATCGCTTGACACCTTGTTTGTTTTCTCGATGATTGGGACCCTCCGGAAGCCAATTTGGATCATCTTCTATCGATCCTTTCGTCGGCAATTTTTGTTTTGCTGTAGGATCAGAGTTCAACCCAAACTATACTTTATCACAGAGGGTACAGAGAATAGCAAAGTTACCAAAGATGAAAGAACCGTTATCCTCTCGTGAATATTCTGTTTCGATCATAAGTTGACAAACCTTCAAAGCTTACCTGACACAAAAAGTTCTTGATGCATCGCATGAACGGAACTCCAGAGTTGAAGTAACCTGTTGTGACCATTTCCATGAAATGCACTGCACCCAGTGGCGCCCATTTATAATGCACTAGAATTGAGAGAGGACCAACCGTTGTCTGGCAGCATACCAACGACAGCTTACCACCAATCGGAGGTGCAACCATGTGGCGTTGCCCTTCCACGGGCTGGAGTTCTTCTTCTGACAAATCCGACAGTGATCGGTACAAGCATGACTGCTGGAAATCGTTACCACCCTCCTCCCTTGGTGTTTCAAGTTGTACTATGTTTGGATGGTTTTGAGGTTTTGAAGCACTCGTTCGCCGCAGCTGCTGTTCTTGTGCGTCCAACTGCGCATCCATTCTTGATAGTGAAACACTTGCTGCAACGATGAAATATACAAAACCGATTATTATAACAGCGCAAGTGACCAGCTTCTGTGTGATTAGCAAGCCGTTCTTGTTTTTGCTCCTGGGGTTTCGGATTTGTACCATGGTGAATTATCGGTGTGAGATGAAAGTGATTTCAACTTGCACACTTTATTATATTTCGTTTCGTTTCGTTTCGTTTCGTTTCGTTTCGTTTCGTTTCGTTTCGTTTCGTTTCGTTTCGTTTCGTTTTGTTTCGTTTCGTTTCGTTTTGTTTCGTTTCGTTTCGTTTCGTTTCGTTTTGATTTGCAACGTTTGACTGACTCGTTCGCTCACTACGGCAAAAAAAGGCAGGTTTCAGGCAGGTGGTCAATGGCTGTGTAGTGAGTGAGGGTGTACCCAGCCAGATGCATTGAAATGAGCAGGTTACCAATGGAGAAACTAACGAAAGAAACGAAACAAATGGCCCAGTGACATAGTTGGAATTTTAGATGGTCACGATTTCAGCCACACCAGAGTCGTTGTCAGTCCTACGCTAGAACAATGAAAGAAGCTAGATACAGTACTGCTTATGCGCAAACATAGTGCTCAGACCATGCATGGAATGTCGACAATAGTTGATTAAATTAGCCTAAACTAAAAAAATTTCAAGAGAAGCCAAACAAAATAGCAGCAAGGTCTCCGAGTACTTCAAAACAAAATGTGTATGATGAACCTAGTGTCGCATGATTTTGAGTGCCAGGTATCGGGAAAAGGTTTTGATTCGTTCCAAGGCAGACGGCACAGCCACTTAGAATCCGGGAGGAACGGGGCAAGATCCTGGGATGAAGTAGTTGGCGACAAATCCGAGCCATCCCATCATAGCCAAACGGCCATTCTTGATTTCCTTCAAAGCCATGTCTTCCTTTTGTTGGTCGTTCATCTTTGCCCATCTTCCAGTCCAGTCCAAGACGGCTTCCTTGTCAATTTCTCCAGTGTAGGACTTTCCTTCCATTTCTCCGCGAAGCTTGATTCCCTCAATGACTGCGCAGAAGACAATGAATTGTGCCCACCATTGGTTATCGGCCTCCAAGTGAGCCTTGATGGGGTCGGTGGTGCTGATGGGACCACCAGGAAATGCCCAGATCTTGGGGAATACCCATCCAACAGTGGCCAACATAGCTGAGCGTCCATTGGCAAGCTCAGCCTTGCGAAGGTGGTCAAGAGGGGCCATGTCTGCAACACCAAAAGGGTCATACTAACAACAGGAGGAACGAGGTAAGATAAGGGTGTCGGCTTGAAATAATCTTCATCCTGGTAGAGGTATCACATGTGTGTACGTACGGCCTTTCCTCCGGTCTCGGGACCAACTCCACGCAAGGAGTCCAACTCGGCAGCATCCAATTGGGTGGACTTGGAAACCTGATTGGCAGGAGCGAAAGCGCTGGCGCCAGCGATAGCACTAAGGAAAAACAAGGAGGTCTTCATGATCAACAGTCTTTGTATGTTCTGTTTGTAGAGCGCAGCTGTCACAAGTCACAAGGATCGCCAGTTGCAGAAACTCAACGGAATTTGGAATTTCATCCGATTAAAGCAAAGCAAAATGCCACGTACATTGATTCGACCCAATCGACCTGAGTTGTGAGTCTTCAAATAAAATGCCACCAACATCCGGGTTGTAATCAATCAGCCTCGTCGATCTCAAAACTGTTCTGAAAAATAACCACCATCAATCAATCAATCAATCAATCAGTCATCAATCTAGGGACTGAATTCGCGGGAGAGCACAATCTTTCAAGCCGCTGTTTCTATCAAAGCGGAAAGGGCCCTAATCGCATCAAGTAAAGCGCGGAAATAGGCTGAAGAGATTGCTTTTTCTGAGCTGGGTGGATGAGACACTGATTTAGCATTGGTATTAGTGTTGAATACGATGGAGATTCTAATCCAAATACCGCAATGGCTCGTTGACATGCTGGAGCTCGCATATTCAAAGGGTGAAACAGCATACAACCTCCTGTTGGAGCATTTTTCGTCCATTTGGAGTTTTGTCACGTATCAGTGGAACTCCCTCTTTCTCATGCTTAGTATGATATTCTTCTGGCCAATGTGGGTGTACATTGCAGTTACGCTGACTACTGCCTCAGCATGGATATTTTGGATATTTGCATCGCTCTTGCTGGGACTAATTCAAATGATATATGTATCCTACCAATTTGTGATGATTGCCAATGACGTGATGATTTTGACTTGCCTGAAAACGTATCAAGTCATTATGCGTTCACGCACTACTCAACTTCTATTCTTCTTCAGCAATACGCTGAGAAAAAAACGAATTCGAACTTCAAGGCGACGAAAGTGGAGATGTGAATGTGAATTAGCAAAGTCATATTCCGAATTTCTACAAGTGCAGGTGATGGAACCAAAGGAACCCGAATTGGAGAAACCACCAACTGGTGTCAACAAGCCAATGAAGCGAAGAACTCATTCCTTCGCGACGATGCAAACACTTTATGAGGAGCAAGATGGAATAACCAATCAGGGGGCCGAATCGCCTCGCAGACGCGCCCACGAAATGAAACGAATGAGTTCGTTTTCTAGGGCGTTGCTCGACTTTGACAATGAGGACACCACCCCCAACATGGATCCAACTGTGGCGCAAGATCTTGGAGAAATGACTACAGAGCTATTGCAATCGACTTTGATCCGTTTGAAAGAAGCTCGAAAAAATTGCACTTCCCAGAGCGATTGATCGAGTCTTGAACACCTCTTGTCCGGTGTAGTCAAACGCAATCACTTGACACTCGAAGACTTGGTAGTCAACAATGCCCGAGCTGTTGCTTTTTCCGGGCAATATGGATTTTCTGCGGCGTCTAGGAGGCAAATCGGTGCCTACTATAACGAAGTGTCTAAGGGGCTTGAATTTCTAGCAGAGGCCCCTGTTTCGGCGGACGAACCACTTGCTATACTTTCGGATCGGATAAGTCTCGTACGGAAAATGAAGCAGAACATGGGAAGGACTGCATTGATGCTCTCTGGTGGAGGAGCTCAAGCGATTTATCACTTGGGAACGCTGCGGGCTCTCATTGATGCGGATCTTTATGACGATATTAAAGTGATCTCCGGAACTTCAGGAGGAAGCATCACGTCCGCCTGTTGCGCCATGTATTCCACGAAAGAAATCTTTGAGAAAATCTGCGTTCCAACTGTATCAACGGACTTTAAATTGAATGGTGAAATGAAGCAGAAGAATATCAAATGGTTTCCACCAATTCAAGACATGGTGGCATATTGGTTGAAGAAACGGCTCTTAGTGGACAGTGAGGTAGGGTGATTTTTCGTCGGTCTTGCCATTGACTAAATTCATCGTTGTCTCAACATTGATACAGTACTTTTATCGGACTTGTGAGTTCTACTACGGAGCAACCACCTTTGCTGAAGCATTTGAGAGAACGGGAAAACATGTATGTATTACGGTTTCGGCTAGCCGCGCAAGTGGTGGCACTGCACAGCGTCTGTTACTGAATCACATATCGACTCCACATGTGACTTTGGCTAGCGCTGTTGCCGCTAGCTGCGCATTGCCCGGTGTCATGAAGCCAGCAAAATTACAAACAAAGAGTTCATTGGGAGAAATCGAGCCTTTTGAAGTCGACGGAGTGGAATGGATAGACGGGTCAGTGCAAGCCGATCTTCCATTCCAGCGGATTTCGACGCTTTTCAATGTATCGAACTTTATTGTTTGTCAGACGAACTTTCATGTTCAGCCATTTCTGAACAAAGATCATCATCCGAGTACGCGGAGTGCGTATTGGAAACTGTTTCAACTTTTCGAGTGGGATATTCGCAGTCGTGCATTGAAATTGGGAAAGCTTGGTTTATTTCCGAAGATTTTTGGTCAAGATATATCAAAAGTCTTCAAGCAGAAATATCACGGCAACCTCACGCTTGTTCCAAGATTCACCGCAGCCCAAACCTTTGGGTTGAAAGCATTAGTGAACCCATCTGTAAAAGAAATGGAGGGATATCTCAAATATGGCCAGGTTGCGGTATGGCCATATGTCAGGTGAGTATCATGGTGGTTGCTGTATTTCCTCATGTCTGCCATGCTTTCCGTGCTCATTGCTTGCTAGTGTAATCCGAGATATGATAAGGTTAGAGAAATCCTTGGATGAATGTCTGGATAACCTGAAGGTCAGATGTAGTAAGCTCCACGTTGAAATAGACATGTCAGATACAGACGATCTAGATTCGATTGCTTCAAGCAGTGCTAGTCTAAACGCTATCAGTCTTCGCAGAAGCAGCGTCCGTTTTGGGCATCATTCCGAGATAGAAAGGCTGAAGAAGAAGTTGTCCCAAGTTGGAAGATGAAAATCAAGATCTTAGAGAGAAACTGAAGGAACTGGAACAAGTCCTACTATCAAATGTGGATCAGCAGCAAGAATTGAACGAAAAGAAGAAATCAGAAGACAATCTGGGTATACCAGTAGAAGGGGATAAAGCGCAAGACGTTTCTGAGGGAAGGGTATGGGAACTACTCCGAGATCTTGATCGGAGAAGCTCCACATCGATAGGGTGATGATCACTACACACAAATCACAATTGGTCGCTGATTCGGCCCAATGCTTGAAGGTAATCTACTCTTTGAATGTTCATCAACCTTTTTTCTTGCTCTTCGCTTGTCGTTTGAAATGCGTGAACCTGTGAAATTATACTTGTGTCACAGTGCTGATCAATTTTCTCGTTGATGAAAAACCTTGGGCGGGAGATTTCAAACTAGGATGAATGCTAAACTCTAGTAGAAGAATGGTATTCTTGATTATCTTTCTAAAGCATTGTAAACGTTGCATTAGCAAAAACCAGGGGAGTGCTGCAAAAGCGCCTTTGCAACGACTTGGCAATCTATTGCTCCTTCGCCACCATGGTGTCGGATTCGACTGATGAAGTTGTCTCTACTCTTGGTGAACCAAAAGAAAGTTTGCGACAGCCAAATCAAACATATCATCAATGCCAATCTGAATCGTGAACATCCAACGCTGTGGCTCGATATTAGATAAAGAATGACGATCCTTTACGGTTGACTTGTGATTCGATGCATGACGTGGAGATGTGGATGAATGAATGAATCAATCTCATCAATCAATCATCCTGTCCTGTTTTGGTCTGGCCGACAGTCCTTTGGGGTTCATGATTGGCGCTCACGAATGAATGAATCATCGTCCTCCAATCGAAATGCTCCGAAACATATGGTTTCGGGGAGAAGCCGCCACGCAATATTCGATTGGTCAGATTCTTTGTTCAGAAATATTCAACACTGTTCTTTCACCAGCTGTCAATCGTTATGTACCTAATTTCAGCAAATTTGTGGTTTTGAAAGGCCATAGGGGATGGCTCAAAAGTGGATTTGTTTGGGGGACGGACGAACAAGGACGTCCAAATAAGAAAGGAATTCTCCAGCTTACAAAAAACGGGAGGAAGTATATCCGAGATTATTTTTTACGCTCCTCCCTCCCCTAGTTTTCTTTCTAGGTTCGTCAGTGGAAGATTCCGTTTACGGTCCGAAACAGACGTACCCAGTACGATACGGTATTTACGTACCCATCATACTTTAGGCCCAACAGACTTTAGTCATTTCTCTGAAAAATCGTACTTTTTTTTTGGAATACAGCAAGAACAAAATGATGTCTAGACCGGTTGAAGTTCAAGGGGATTATAGATTGCTGACGGAGCCGCTGCTTTTCCTTCTCCCTTACCGTGATGCTACCATACTTTCATTATTTGTGAAGCAGAGCAGCAGATTCTTTCTCCGACTATGCAAATGATCTACAGAGTAAAGCGGTTCTGGAAGAATCACCATGCGTTTCAAGGGAAATGCAGTTCCCTACTGTCAACAATCAGCCTTGGGATGCCAAATGAATTGCATAGGAATCAACATAATGCTCTCTATTCAGCGCTGCCAACAAAAATCTTCTTGTTGGATTCATTCATAGCAAAAGGAGGAGTGGTGCCAATCGCTCATCATTTCGCCACGAAGTTGCACCAGCAGTTGTAGGGATATGCAGACCAAGATTATAAATGAAGCTACTCCTAGAACAGATAAATAAGTAATCGTTATTAAATAGAGCTCTAGTTTAATGTATTTTGGTTTTTGTTGATTGAGACGCTTGATGTTGTTGTCGATGTTGTTGTCGATGTTTTTGTCTTGGAGGATGTCTTATATTTGATATCAGGGAGATAACCGGAATATCATGTTTGAAAAAAGGGAGTGTCATGTTTGAAAAAAAGGGAGTGTCATGTTTAACGGGATTATCCTGTTTCAAGCGGGGAATACCATCTTTCAAGCGAGGAATACCATGTTTCAAACGGGGAATACCATGTTTGAAACGTGAGACTGTCATGTTTCATGCGGGGAATACGATGTTTCAAGCGGGGAATACGATGTTTCTGAATCAATCCTTGTTTGTTTGACATTCCCTATTTCACACTCCACGCTTCAAACATGACAGTCTCACGTTTCAAACATGGTATTCCCCGCTTGAAACATGGTATTCCCCGCTTGAAACATGGTATTCCCTGCTTGAAACATGGTATTCCCGGCTTGAAACATGGTAATCCTGTCAAACATGACAATCTCACGTTTCCACCATGGTAATCCCCGCTTCAAATATCTCCTGTTTCAAACGGTTCTCGACAACAGCAACAACAGCAACAACAGCAACAACAACAACAACAACACCAAGCGTCTCAGATCAACAACATATATTCCAAGAGGCTGATTGTTGATAGTGGGGAACTGTATATGGACTATAACCTCCCAACGAAACATCTGCGAAACTTCATTCTGACAGGTACAGTAACAGCATTTGCATCACTACCACTCGAACTCAACGTTGAATCGGTCCCTCAGCCTGCATTCTGTCTGTGCCCTGCGTGTTTCCACTCCAAATATCTAGAGCTGCAACTCGTCAGCACAATACATTCTGCTGACTTCGAAGTGCTGTGGGGTTTATATGAGACTTGGAGATCTATCATACTTCCGGCCCTACAGATTTTAGTCATCATACTTTTGGCCCTACAGATTTTCGTGGTAAAAGGTACGTTCAAGTAACAGTATGGGATTTCCTGTACAAACAACGGAATCCTACACACAGGAATCTGAATTGGATCCTTGTACATCAACAGTCACTTTGGGGGGATTTTGAGAACTCAAAATGGTAGATTCTGAAGTTCCGTTTTCACCTGTTTTAGACTTAGTAAGTACTTGTTTGTCCGTCCCCCATAAAACCTACTTTTGAGCCATCCCCATAAATGACGTGACAGATGTCGGAACACTTTCAAATGACTCATGTTCCCTTCAGATAACACCTGTGACAAAAAGCAGATGGTAACAGAGTCAAAATGCAGGTACGTCACCAAACTGAAACTCAACATTTCTACGGTATTTACGGTACAATTGTGAAGGTACAACACCCTGACTCTGCAGCATGCGGGAACAGCACCTCTCAACAACCGCCGTTCACAGCAAACAACAATACAGGGTCCTCCACATTGAAAGATGACAGAGAACCAACGATTGCAAACATTTGCAGCACTATGCGCAGGCCAATCAGACGCTCCAACGGACAAGGCAAGAGATGCTAGTAGTGCTGGGGCTCAAAATGGGGATTCAAAAAACTCCATTGCTTCGGCGCTATCATCTTCTGCTTCATCATCTACAACACAACAATCACAGCACGCGCAAGTTGCCGGTCGGACATCTCATCCGGCAGTACAGAACGGACAGCAATTGCAAAATATGAGAGCACAGGAATTACAACAGGCGCTTGCCAGAGCGGCGTCGCATGGTGGGACTGTGTCTCCGTCCCTCGCTGCTGCTCAGAGCTTATTCATGCAGGGCGGTTTGTCTACGCAACACATTAACGATGCTGCAGTGACACAAATGGCATTGCAGCAATATCTTCAACAGGCACAACAGGCACTTTCAAATCAGCAGGCATCCCAGACACTGTCTACAAATGAGAGCGGGAGTCTTCGAGAAAGTCACGCCTTGATGATGGCAGCTTTAACAGGCGGAAAAACGAATCCATTTGGACATGTCAGAGGTAAGATCTAATTCGATTGTTTGCAAGAAACAAGGTAGTAGGTAGTAGGACTGGTGTCATGGGTATTTGTTACACCTCTGTTGTCAGAGTTTGTGCTACCCAATAATCGGTTGAATCGGATTCAGGTCACTCGAAATTTTTAGTTATAAACCTCGAGCATCACCTGGTCGTTTTCACATTCGATTGGCGGGTGGTCGTGTTGGTTTTTTATTTAATGTGCAGCTGCTCTAACCATATGTTCCTTCTGACCAACAGGAACCGATCTGTTACAACAGAAGGTGATACCATCTGCTTCGCCATCAAACTTGGAAGCACCTACTGAAGTCGCAAATGCTATTGCGGGTGCAGGCAATGTTGGATCATCGTCAGTTCCAACTAGCATGAAGCCACCACCTCCTCCATCACAAAAGAGCGTTGAAGCGACGCTGAGTACAGCCGGAATACCTAGTATCCTCGGTCAAACTCCTCCCAAAATTGCTCCCATGCCTGGAGCTAAGCCAATTGCAATCAACGAAGGCGGTTCTGAATCGTCAGTACCCTCGGGTTTCGACGATAAGAAACAACAAAAACGTGCTGCGAACCGAAGATCGGCACAACTAAGTCGAAAGAGAAAGAAGCAATACATTGAAGAGTTGAAGGAAGAGAATGATGAATTGCGAAGGAAAGAGCAGATTCTTCGATCTATACCTGATTTGATCGTTGTCTTTGACTCTTCTGGAAAGCTTGGGTTTGTTTCCCCTTCTGTGTCTCGTTTCATTGGCATTTCGCCAGACGAACTCGTCGGCACATCCTTCTGGGATCGACTTTGTGAAAGCAGTGTCCGGCTGCTCAAGTCTGCCTTCATGGATGCACTTGCTGCAAAGAAGTCCGATTCTGATACATGTCCTCTGGGTTCAGGGGTATGGGATCTGAGACTGGTGGACAAAGAGTCAAATTACACCTTGGTTTCGCTCAATGGCGTTGTCCACTTTTCGGGGGAGGCACCTGAATGCGTTTGCTGCATTCGTCCTCTTGAACAGCAGCAGCCTGTGCAAAAAATGACCAATGAAGTGAAGAAGCAGCCCACTGCTCGTCCTGTCTCGAGCTGTGATGGATCCAGTTCTTCGAACAGCAGCAGGCGGGATGCGTTAGAAATCCGAGCCAATCCCAATCAAAGCGTGATCAGCAGTGACGCCACTTCTGCTGATGACTCTGGCATGAACTCAGTGAGAAGGAAAAAACCACGACGGCGAGAAGTCGGACGCGGTGCTGAAGGTGAATCGGTTCGAATCAGCGACGGAGACAGTGTCAGCGGGAGTGACGATGGAATCGTTTCGAATTAAACAAGAAGTACTGGCACAAATCCCATTGTATATTTGACCGGGATGATTTGTAGATAATTTACTCTGTATGATATGATAGAGGATGCATATTTCATTCTTTTTCGTTTCCATAACGGGTTTCTATGTTCAATGGAGTATCCTTCTACTTTTAGGAGTAGAGAAATACCGGTAGAGGGATGGATGTAGACTTGGAGCTGGTGATTCATTCACAAAAATAAAATTTACATGGCTTCCGTTGGTGCACTTCAAGTTTATTTACTTCGTTTCAAATTCCGATGCTATGCATACTACTATCGTGTCAGTTCTGGAGAGTAGCGAGCACAAACCAAAGTACCCTTCGCCACAGAGGATTCACTTTCCCCCCTACCTTGCTGGGCCCTTCATCTCTGCAAAGAATGGGTGCTCCAATGCAGCTTGCGCCGTGATACGGCGGCTTGGGTCGTACTGCAGCATTTTTGTTAGCAAGTCAACTCCTGTTGCATCCAGAGTTGGAACAAGACTAGCAAGCCCACCTCGCGGTGGAGGGTATGGTGGGAATTGGTCTGCTGAGTAATCAGGTAATTCGACAATACCTGGATAATCCGCAGCGGTTGGAGTCCCAAACAGTCTAAAGATTCGATCCAATTGATCTGTTTCGGAAGTCCCCGCAACCAACGGTCTGTAAACGAGGCAATCGTAAGGGTATTACTGCGCGACGATTTCAAGCATACGAAAGGGAAATACATCAAGTGCCAAAGACGTACCTTCCATTTGCCATTTCTGCAAAGATGCAGCCCACACTCCAGATATCAACCGGCGTAGAATACTTTCTAGATCCAAGCAATACGTCTGGGGCACGGTACCACAGAGTGACGACTTCGTGTGTGTAAGACCTTACAGGAATCCCAAATGCCCTCGCCAAGCCAAAATCTGCCAACTGTGAAAGCCGAAATAAGGTTTTGAAACAAGGCTGAAGGAACCAACAAAACGAAATGCAAACGCACCTTCAGTTGCCCTTCGCGATTGATCAGGAGATTCGGTGGCTTAAGGTCTCGGTGTAGAACTCGATGGTGATGGCAATATGCAACTCCTGTAACCAATTGATACAAAAAACTTTTCATAATGGGCAGTCCCAGGCCAGAGTCACAAACATCGAGGTACTTTTTCAGATCTTGATCCAAGAACTCAAACACAAGCGTGAGCTTTCGCTCTGTATGAACCACATCGTACAATCTCACAATATTGGGATGCTGGAGTTCTTTCAAAAGCGAGATTTCGCGAATCGCTGTTGATGGAATACCCTCGTCCTCTGCTTCGAGACGGATTTTCTTCAACGCGATTATTTCTCCAGTGACTCGGTCTTTGGCCTTGTAGACCACCCCGTAGGTGCCTTCACCAACTTTTTCCATTTTCTGATACCGTTCCATGGTTGCAATGAAATTTTTAAAATGAGAGCGATATTATTATTGAGACAGTACGACAATAAGTCTTTCAATGCTACTCTTTTTCCTAAATCGACCGCAGTCGACGTGTGAAGAACGTGCTTCAAGGAAAAGTTTAGTCACCTTAGTCGACAGCTTCCCTTGAAGTACTGTCAAAGAAAAATTAGATTGCAAGCGGAAAGCCGACTGATTGTTCTTGACAGCCACAATCAAACGAAACAAAACCTGCAGCAATCGCACGGTATAGGGGACTAAGAGATAACTATGCAGCGACCAATACTCTGCCTGACCCTAAGTTACTACAGTCGGCTACCTTGTTGATACTACTTCCAACCAACTTCTGTTGTGCGGTAACAACTAGTATTTAAACCAACAAAAGCATTCATCTGCTAGCTATTCATAGAATCTATAACCATTTGACACATGGGTAGTCTCTTTCCTCTAAGATGCACCTTCGTTCACTTCGACAATACCGACCGGGTGTACAGGAACTGCATGAGAGATTTATCACCTTCGAGAGTCATATCATTGAATCGCTTGAATCGATCTTTAATCCGAGTAAGGTGAGCTTTTGAGTCGATTACAAATGTTGATCGTTGGCCGAGGCCGTTTGAATATTTTCAAACAAACAACAACCTTTTGAAAACGACAACGACAATCTGCTTTTCGCAACGAAAGCTTCAAGCACAATATTTAAAATAAATCCATCGAAACATCGAATAGATCACAGGTTTTTGAGCCCAACGATTTGTAACGAAGATCTTCCTCTCCGAATCGTTCCTTTTTTGAGCCATCATCGCTCCTTTTTTTTGAGCCTCTCGCTCCTCTTCTTCTTGAGCCCCTTCGCGCTCTTCTTCTCGAGCCCCTTCGCGCTCTAACACGTCAAGATCGATACCAGATCGCGCCGTGCAATCCGTACAGCCATGGCCGACACAGATGCACAAGTCGCCGCCATGACTGCTGCCCTAACTCAGGTCGGCATTCAGTTCCTTGCACAACTCCAAGCACAACAAACAGCGGCAGCAACGGCTGCGGCAGCTGCAGCGCCACCTCGTACTGCAGTGTACAACCTTCATGATTCCGGACAACCAGTTGACCTATCCTCTCGCAGTGGTGCCGCCGCCGCAGACAAGGCATCTGCTAAACTCCCAATTGAAATTACAGGCGACAAAGCAGAGATCGTTATCTGGATACAGGCCCTTAAATTCCACTGCAGCGAAACCTACATGGACGTTGCAGGACCCACGGGCATTCTATATTTTGGAGGCAAGAACCTGCTAACAGATTATCACTCCATTCTGATGACTGATGTTGTGAGTCAAGCTACTCTACGCACGGATCCTCGAGCTAAACAAAACTCTGGCTGGCTTTTCAAATGCATTCAAAGCAGCCTTTCTCCTGCACTGCTACTTCAACTTTTTGGTTTGAACGGCAGCATGCCAGCTCTTGGACAAGGTGATGGACCCACATTGTTCAAGGCCATCATGGACACTACTGCATCAGCTTCCCTTGTTGTATCAATGCAAGCCCTTACAGACCTTGGCGTGCTTGACCCAGCGGATTTTGACTTCGACATCAAGAAGATCAATGCCAAAGCAAGTCAACTGATTGCTCTGGCCACCACTTCGGCCCGATCCCTTTCTGACCCAGAATGCATCCAACTGCTCCTCACCGCCTACAGTCGAATCAAACAGCCTCATGCTTGGATCTCGTGGGTACACCAGAAGATCACTGATTTTGAAGAAAGCTCAGTTGCACAGAGACAAGACAAAGGAAGTCATTGACCTTCCATCTACTGATCTCTTTGCTAGGAATCAGAATCAACAGGAGGTTCCGCTGCTGGCCGTACCCCAATTCATCACACAATGGGACGACGAACATACCATTGGAGAACTAACCGACGATTTCAACTCTACTGAAGATCCCAAGACAATTATCTCTCCTCCGAGAGAAAACCAAGAATCTGAACATGCATCAATTCAGGAACCCGAAATACGCAGGACCAGATCGGGACGACATTCCAAACCGAATCCAAGAATATTCAACGACCAAATGGCAACCGCCAACTCTGCATATCTAGAAACTTTTTCACCTGCTCTTGACCATGAAGAGCTCCAAGGGCATGAACTACTACAAGCGGATCACTCAGAGGAGCCACACCCATTTGCATCAATCTTTGCACTTGCTGGATCAGCTGATCCAGACACTTTGACATTTGACGAAGCAATGAAGGCTCACGACCGGGCCGAATTCATCAAAGCCATGTACAAAGAACTTGGTGATCACATTGGAAGAAAGCATTGGAAGGTTGTACCCATCAGAAGTATTCCAACATACAGTGGCAAAAGAGCAATTCCCATGGTTTGGGCGATGAAAAGAAAGAAGAACCCCCTTGGGGAGATAATCAAGTGGAAAGCTAGATTGTGCGCTGGCGGCCATCGATCCATTGAGAATGTTGATTACTGGGATACGTATGCACCCGTGGTGTCATGGAGCACTGTACGTCTCATGGTCATCTTTGCCCTCATCAACAACTGGCATATGGAGTCAATTGACTTCGTCCTAGCATATCCGCAAGCTCCTATCAAGACCGACATCTTCATGCAACCACCAAGAGTTCCTCCAAAGTTTGCGATTGTTCATCCTTCTCAATCGCTTTGGATTTCGCAGACTCCAATTGGGCCTAATCCCCCAGCGCAAGCGCTGGTTTCCTCCAAGGGTGAGGTGGGACTAGGGTAATCTTAATAACTATCTATTCCTAGACTTCAAATTCACTCTGTCAAATACAGAGCAGTCTTTTCAAAAGGAATGAGCTGCAACTGAGCTGCAGCTCCTTTACCAACTTCTTTCACAACCTCTTTGGTACGTAGCTTTCCACTGTCCTGCTACTGTACCTTCTTTGCATACGTACTTGGGCGTTCCGATCAGTCCGTCCTTCGCTAGCAGCTCCTTTACCAACTTCTTTCACAACCTCTTTGGTACGTAGCTTTCCACTGTCCTGCTACTGTACCTTCTTTGCATACGTACTTGGGCGTTCCGATCAGTCCGTCCTTCGCTAGCCAACACCTGCAGTGGCCGTTTGAATATTTTCAAACAAACAACAACCTTTTGAAAAACAACAACGACAATCTGTTTTTCACAACGACAATCTGCTTTTCGCAACGAAAGCTTTACACACAATATTTAAACTAAATCCATCGAAACATCGAATAGATCACAGGTTTATGAGCCCAACGATTTGTAACGAAGATCTTCCTCTCCGAATCGTTCCTTTTTTGAGCCATCATCGCTCCTTTTTGAGCCCCTCGCTCCTCTTCTTCTCGAGCCCCTTCGCGCTCTAACACTTCAAGATCGACACCAGATCGCGCCGTGCAATCCGTACAGCCATGGCCGACGCAGATGCACAAGTCGCCGCCATGACCGCTGCCCTGACTCAGGTTGGCGCTCAGTTCCTTGCCCAACTCCAAGCGCAGCAAGCAGCTGCAGCGGCACCTGCACCTCCTGCTCGTACTGCAGTGTACAACCTTCATGATTCCGGACAACCAGTTGACCTATCCTCTCGCAGTGGTGCCGCCGCCGCAGACAAGGCATCTGCCAAACTCCCAACTGAAATTACAGGCGACGAAACAGAAGTTGTTATCTGGATACAGGACCTTAAACTCCACTGCAGCGAAACTTACATGGACGTTGCAGGACCCACGGGCATTCTACATTTTGGAGGCAAGAACCTACTGACAGACTATCACTCCATTCTGATGACTGATGTTGTGAGTCAAGCTACTCTAAGAACGGATCCTCGAGCTAGACAAAACTCTAGCTGGCTTTTCAAATGCATTCAAAGCAGCCTTTCTCCTGCACTACTACTTCAACTTTTTGGTTTGAACGGCAGCATGCCAACTCTTGGACAAGGGGATGGACCCACATTGTTCAAAGCCATCATGGACACTACTGCATCAGCTTCCCTTCTTGTATCAATGCAAGCCCTTACAGACCTTGGCGTTCTTGACCCCGCGGATTTTGACTTTGACATCAAGAAGATCAATGCTAAAGCAAGCCAACTGATTGCTCTGGCCACCACTTCGGCCCGATCCCTCTCTGACCCGGAATGCCTCCAACTGCTCCTCACCGTCTACAGTCGAATCAAACAGCCTCATGCTTGGTTCTCGTGGGTACAACAGAAGATCAATGACTTCGAAGAAGGCCGACTGAGCGCGCCTCCAGTTGCGTTTGAACAAGAGTGTGCTACTCATGGAGTGTCCATCCGACATTACCATGCTGATAACGGATTATTCGACACCAAGGCCTTTCGCAATTCAATTACTAAGGCCGGTCAAGGTTTGACGTTCTGTGGTGTCAATGCGCACCATCAGAATGGGAAAGCCGAGAGAAAGATCAAAGAAGTGACAGAAGGGGCAAGAACTGCATTGATTCATGCTGCTCATCGATGGCCGGATGCCATTCATGCGGCTCTGTGGCCAGCCGCTCTCAAGAACTACACTAATCTGAAGAATTCGCTTCCAACCAAATACACACCTGAAATCAAAGTGAGAGGACGCATCAAGCAACATGCCAAATACGAAGAATCTCCCATATCAAAGATGGCCCAAGTTGAAGTGGAACCAAATCTTGATCATTTTCACCCTTTCGGATCTCCGGTGTACGTGCTTGAAGACAGCTTGCAAGCCCAACATTCGCACAACAAATGGGCGGATCGGAGTCGAGTAGGCATATTCCTTTGCCACTCTCCCAATCATGCATCCAGTGTACCGTTAGTGCTGAACACAAGAACAGGCAACGTGTCTCCCCAGTTCCATTGCATCTACGACGATGCTTTTGACACTTGTAAGAGAGATGTCCATTTTACCTCATCTTGGCAACGCAAAGCTCAGTTGCACAGAGACAAGACAAAGGAAGTCATTGACCTTCCATCTACTGATCTCTTTGCCAAGAATCAGAATCAACAGGAGGTTCCGCTGCCGGCTGTACCCCAATTCATCACACAATGGGACGACGAACATACCATTGGAGAACTAACCAACGACTTCAACACTACTGAAGATCCCAAGACAATTACCTCCCCTCCGGGAGAAAACCAAGAATCCGAACATGCATCAATTCAGGAACCCGAAATACGCAGGACCAGATCGGGACGACATTCCAGACCGAATCCAAGAATATTCAACGACCAAATGGCAACCGCCAACTCTGCATATCTAGAAACTTTTTCACCAGCTCTCGACCATGAAGAGCTCCAAGGACATGAACTACTACAAGCGGATCACTCAGAGGAGCCACACCCATTTGCATCAATCTTTGCACTTGCTGGATCAGCTGATCCAGACACCTTGACATTTGACGAAGCAATGAAGGCTCACGACCGAGCCGAATTCATCAAAGCCATGTACAAAGAACTTGGCGATCACATTGGAAGAAAGCATTGGAAGGTTGTACCCATCAGAAGTATTCCAACATACAGTGGCAAAAGAGCAATTCCCATGGTTTGGGCGATGAAAAGAAAGAAGAACCCCCTTGGGGAGATAATCAAGTGGAAAGCTAGATTGTGCGCTGGCGGCCATCGATCCATTGAGAATGTTGATTACTGGGATACGTATGCACCCGTGGTGTCATGGAGCACTGTACGTCTCATGGTCATCTTTGCCCTCATCAACAACTGGCATATGGAGTCAATTGACTTTGTCCTAGCATATCCGCAAGCTCCCATCAAGACCGACATCTTCATGCAACCACCAAGAGTTCCTCCAAAGTTTGTGATTCCTGATATGCCTCGGCCAGGCGACCGATTCACCAGTGTGTACAAGTTATTACAGAATTTATATGGACTCAAAGACGCGGGACGAACATGGGGTCAATTTCTTCACAAGGGATTGATCGATCGCGGATGGCAACAATCAAGCATCGATTCTTGCTTATACACAAAACAGGACATCATATTGGTACTCTACTTTGATGATGCCTGTCTCATGTCCCCAAACAAAGCTTTGATCAATAAAGAAATCAAATCCCTACAGGAACAATACAATTTGACGGACGATGGGGAACTGCAAGACTATCTTGGTACTTGTTTCACAAAACAACCCGACGGATCGATCCTTCTTGAACAGCCTCGCATGATTCAACGGATATTAGAAATGGTCGGGCTCACTGCTGACCAAGTCAAAACTCACGACAGTCCAGCTTCCAGTGCAAACATATCAGACAAGGACCCAGACGGTAAGGCTCATGATTATCCGTGGAACTACAGATCGGTGGTTGGCAGCCTTAGTTATTTACAGGCCATGATTCGCCCGGATCTCACAATGGCAGTGCAACAGTGTGCTCGATTTTGCAATGATCCAAAAGAGTCTCATGGTACTGCAGTCAAAAGAATCTGCAGGTACTTGCATTCGACACAACATCAAGGGCTTCGATTCAAGCCAGATCCTACGAAAGGGTTGGAATGTTATGTCGATGCGGATTGGGCCGGCTCTTGGCAAGACCGCACATCAACTGATCCTTTGTCTGCAAGATCTCGAACAGGATACATCATTACCTACGCTGGATGTCCCATTATTTGGGCATCAAAGCTTCAAACATTGGTTGCATTATCTACGACTGAAGCTGAATATATTGCATTATCTACGTCTCTACGTGAAGTCATTGCTGTTATGAATCTGGTAAATGAATTACGTTCGTTGGGTTTCAACTTATCTATGGATACCCCAAAGGTTGTATGCACTGTTTTTGAAGATAATCGCAGCTGCCTCGAGATTGCAACAAATCACCGAACAAGACCAAGGACTAAGCACTTGTCTGTCCGACTGCATCATTTTCGTTCTCACATATTGGCGAAAACCATAATCATCAAGCATGTCTCTACAAAAGAGCAGATGGCCGATATTTTCACCAAACCACTTCCTAAAGATCAATTCATCAGACTTCGCAACCGTTTCATGGGTTGGGACTCTCTTGGCAAGAGGGAGTGAGAGATTTATCGCCTTCGAGAGTCATATCATTGAATCGCTTGGATCGATCTTTAATCCAAGTAAGGTGAGCTTTCAAGTCGATTACAAATGTTGATCGTTGGCCGTTTGAATATTTTCAAACAAACAACAACCTTTTGAAAAGCAACAACGACAATCTGCTTTTCACAACGACAATCTGCTTTTCGCAACAAAAGCTTTACGCACAATATTTAAACTAGATCCATCAAAACATCGAATAGATCACATTGTTCACTTGACAAACTTCAAAATCGAGAGATTTGACTTTCCTTTTCAAAGCAGTAGCGTAGACTTGTCTGAAAACTGTATTGCATCAAGAGGTGTAGCTTGATGTCCAATTACCAAATGGTTTCTCACAATCACCGAAGCAACCACAGTTTCATGCAAAGAATTCTCAATTCGTTAGGTTTACTCAAATCTGCAAGATAGCAGATCACATTTCGATTGTCACTTTGCATGATTGGATATTGAGCCCAAGTTGTTGCGTTTCGCGATTGATGAATGAGTGCAACATGTTGTTGGAATTGATGTTTTTAGATGTTTGCCATCGGGACTGGATTTGGCAGATGATTCAAAAACGATTAAAACATCTTCTCGTCATTTTCAATTTCACCATATCCATGGTCAGCACTGCAGTCCATTTCAACAACAAGCAAACATGCATCTGAAGGCACAATCGAATTCCGCTTCAGATGGAAGAGGAAGAAGAACTTCTTCTTCAAACGAATACATTTCCTCCTTGGGATCCATTTTGACATTGAGTTTGTCAAATACGATCAAATGCAATCAACTTTTACCTTTGAAAAGCAATAAACTCTTCCCCTTCAATAAATTCTTCCCCTCAGGGATATTCCGCATTTTGGTGTGAATCTGAACTGGAATCGGGGCCTGACCGGCTTGCTCACTCCTTCTGCACGGGGATCTGTGATCCGACATCATCACTGCTCGTGGAATTCATTCTTGGTCGGTGATCGTCGCGTTTTGGTCGTAGTTCGTTAAATTACAGACAGTTCCCCTAATTGACCATTGTTTTTGTCCTCTGAGTCAAAAATTCTGTGAATTTTTCACAGATGTTCCGAAATCTCTGTGAATGACCAACAGATGTTCCGAAATCTCTGTGAATTTTTCACAGGTTTTTTAAGGGTCTTCACAGATGTTCCGAAATTGCCGTGAAGTTTCAACAGAGGTTCAGCTGACATGCATGCACGCATGCCCTTTCGTAAAAGCACCATACAATTTCGGTAGAGGAAAAAACGGTTAATGTTGTGCGCAAGCAATGCTTGGTCGTCTGGGTCAAAAATTCTGTGAATTTTTCACAGATGTTCCGAAACTTCTGTGAATTTTTCACAGGTTTTTTAAGGGTCTTCACAGATGTTCCGAAATGTCGAAATTGTGGCGAATGGTGGGTTCAGCCAGGAATATAACATTTATGGCTTCACTATGTAAAACTAGTCGTAGACTTTTTTCCACGGTCGTCTGAGTCAAAAAGTCTGTAAATTTTCTATCGTCTGGGATATTCCGCATTTTGGTGTGAATCTGAACTGGAATCGGGGCCTGACCGGCTTGCTCACTCCTTCTGCACGGGGATCTGTGATCCGACATCATCACTGCTCGTGGAATTCATTCTTGGTCGGTGATCGTCGCGTTTTGGTCGTAGTTCGTTAAATTTTCTGTGAATTTTTCACAGATGTTCCGAAATCTCTGTGAATGACCAACAGATGTTCCGAAATCTCTGTGAATTTTTCACAGGTTTTTTAAGGGTCTTCACAGATGTTCCGAAATTGCCGTGAAGTTTCAACAGAGGTTCAGCTGACATGCGTGCACGCATGCCCTTTCGTAAAAGCACCATACAATTTCGGTAGAGGAAAAAACGGTTAATGGTGTGCGCAAGCAATGCTTGGTCGTCTGGGTCAAAAATTCTGTGAATTTTTCACAGATGTTCCGAAATCTCTGTGAATTTTTCACAGATGTTCCGAAACTTCTGTGAAAAATTTACAGGTTTTTTTGGGGTCATTACAGATGTTCCGCAATTGCTGTAAAAATAAAACAAACTTTACAATTTAATCTGGCGAATGAAGTTGAATACTTAACGGCATTGTGAACATTTATAAAATTCCTTGTCGTAGAAGTTTCTTTCTGGCAGGCAATAAGTGAAAGTCGATTTTGAAGTTTCGTGCAGAAGAGGGTGAAAATGACCACATCGACTCACCAAAAAAAAAGAGAAAGCTGGCTTCACAGAAAACTGCGGGATATCCCAGGCTGTTTCTCCATTCGCGAAAAGATGCGCGAGAAACAGTCTGATATTTCCGGAATATATTTAAATGCAGGCAAAACGTTTTTGATGAAGATTTCACGCGTGAAAACTTGCTGTATATTTTCAACGTGCACAAAGTGAGATTTTAGTCGAAAATATGCAAAGCACAAATCATTGAATAAAAGTGTTTCAAGCAATGCACAAGAGCAAACATCTCGTTTTCCATGAAGGAGCAATGCGTTGTCGAGGATGTTTTTAGTGTCAAATTCACTGAATTGGGAGACGGATTCAGCGTCCACTTCATTGCTAGAAGCATCAAAAGTGTTGTCAAATCCAAATGTCGCAAAAGGTTTTGTCGGACTCGTTTGCCGCAATAAAAGCTCTGGTACCAGTGAGATTGTCAAAAGATGGAAAATGTGAGAACGGAACGGTTACATGTGACGATTGTGTCACAGTATCCAAGAAAGCTCAGAATTCAGCAAAGTCAGGAGGCGCATCCATTTGGAGAATCGCGTGTATGTTGTTCTTCAGAAATGTTGGGAGGCACATCCATGTTGAGGATCGCATCCACTTTGTTTTTCAATTGCAAAGGTTGACACGGTCATGGGTCAGGCAATGTATCAAGAAATCCGTTTTTGAACATGGTTAAAAACTTCAAAGGATTGATCTTGAAGCCTTCAAACCATCTAGTGTTTTGTAGTAGGAAGAAACGTCAAGAACTGATTTCAATCGCCTTGATATTTGTTGTAGAGCGACGATTGTGCACAACTCTTAGTTTAGCTCAAAAGAAGAATACATCATTGTGAGATCGAATTTGGTAAAGGATGTAAAACCAGCACAACAAGAAACAATGCAACAATCAATAGCGATGGATATACTTTACGTTTGAGAACTGATGAAAGTTGGAAAGGCCCTCCATTTAGTTGGATCATACTGTCTGAGCACAGTAAATGCGGGAAATGTGGAAGTCCCTGGAAAGATGCATTTTGAAGCGGTCACCAACTGTTTTTGTTGTGTGTTTTGTGGAAGCAACTTCAGCCCCAATCGCAGTTCCGCATCAATCAATAGCGATGGATATACTTTACGTTTGAGAACTGATGAAAGTTGGAAAGGCCCTCCATTTAGTTGGATCATACTGTCTGAGCACAGTAATGCGGGAAATGTGGAAGTCCCTGGAAAGATGCATTTTGAAGCGGTCACCAACTGTTTTTGTTGTGTGTTTTGTGGAAGCAACTTCAGCCCCAATCGCAGTTCCGCATCAAAGATGAAGGCTGTACCGCTTGCATCAAAGATGAAGGCTTCGCCGCTTGCAATATCATATTGTTATCCAAAGAGTCCAAGTAGCCACAATCCAAAACAAGAGTTTCATTGAAAATGTGTCTTGTATTGCAGTGAAAGGATGTTGTGGAACTGTTTCACTTGATGATGTTGAACGTCAATCTAATGTCACAAAGTTGCGACCAAAGATGATTTTGTTTGAAGACTTTTCTGGGAATAGAAAGCTGTCCGTGTTTTGCCGCAGGTTTGCCAACAAATAAAGGTGACCGTGCTATTGAATATGAGATCGACCATGCTGTGGTGCACGTGTACGATCGCTAGAGTCCGTAAGTAGTAAGGACAAATCGGCCTCCAGGGAAGCACGTCGATCTGACGATGGT